AAAAAAAAAAAAAAAAAAAATTAAAGAACTTTTTCTTTTTGTAGAGTAGATGCTGCTTTTTCAAATCCGCCTTTAACAGTAAGCGAAAAAACGGCAACAAAATCCCGTGCCAACTCTGTTGCAGCAAAAAGATTACGCACAAGCTCTGTATTATCAAATCGTCTTCGAACTAGTTCTGTACTATATGCTGCTAAACAGAATATTGTCACTATACAGCATAGCGTAAGCAATGACATTGTTCGATCGATAACCTTTGTCACCGCATTTTCATTCCATTCAACATTAGAAGGTTTTGCATTCGGAGTACAGGTCAGTTTTCTCGCAAAAAATTTCAATCAAAATCGGATAATATAGATGCAAAAGAAACTACCCTAAGATTAGCTCTAAAAAAATGGCGTAAAAATAAAAAGAGGTCAAAAATTATCTTACAAATAGGTGTTGAAATTGAAAACTGAGCAAAATGTGCTATATTTTTTTTTTTTTTTTGATCTTTTCAGGACAGTACGCTGAGTGCCGTAACACTGTTTTTTGGAATTATCGTACATAAAGCTGTTGTGACGTTTAGCATTGGTATGAGATTAGTCAGATCTCATCCAGATCGGCGCTTTCTCATTATAGGTCTTATTATCTTTGTAGCATTTACAGCACCGATTGGTGGTATCATTGGAATTGCTGTTCAGGTTTCACACTTTTACGGCTCTTATTTTTGCCTTCTTACAGTTAAACGTTTACTCACCGGTATTGTATTTGCAACAGCAGCAACAACAACAGCGACTTTTCATCTCAACAACAAAGCTTTGTTTTTAGAATTCAAGAATGGACGAATTACCAAAAAATATTGTTTCGACAGTTTTGACATGTGTTGCATTAGGAACCTTCTTATACATAACATTTTTTGAGGTATGAAATCTTTGCAGAATTTTATCTTTTATTATTCTGTTATAGTCTATCAGACCACTTAATTTTATGTCTCTTCGAAAAAAGAAAAAAAAAAACTAACTAAAACCTATTTGTAGAATATTCACTCAAAAATCAAATAGTTTTGGAGTTGAAAAAGCACTTTAAGTTCAGATACGATTTTACGACTTTCAACAAAGTTTAAAACTGCTCATATGCAGTTAGATACCAAAAAAGATTAAGATGTTCATAGATAGTACAATTAAACTTTTTAGATTTTGTTCACTGAACAGGCCAGTGATACGCCAAAGCTGTTACAACTACTTAGCACATTCACTGGATTTGTTATAATTGCATTACTTATGATTTTCGGTGATTAAAATACAAAAAAAAAAAAGAAAAAGAACTTTTTGTAAAGATTAATCCATTATTCTATGTGTTATTGTATACCTCTTTTTTAAGTTGCAAATAATCAGTTGTCATCGCTGTAACATTTCTGTTTTTGTGTTTAATTGATCATAATGTAATTCTTTTTTATGTTCTACAATTGTAACTTTTATAGACACAACTATAATATTAAGCAAGTAAACTAAGCTGCGTTATTGTATTCTACAAAGCAGCTTTTATTTTTGATAGATTTCTATTGAAATAGGAGTGTTACTGTGCCTTTCACTGCTAAACTTTGATATGTTTGTAGAAGAAAGCCTGAAATAAATCAGGAAATCATACCAACAGTAAAAGGTTGATTTTATCTGTTGCTAATTATCTAATCAATCTTCACAACCTGTACGACATATAAAAAAAAACCGAAAAGTTCAAATTTTCAGCAGTTGAGACGTAATTTTTAATGATCAAAAAACACACTGAAATGTCTGGTTACTAATATAAAAATTGTTTAACTACTTTTTCAAGGCTTTATTTCAACTGCTTTCTTTATTGTTTTTTTTTTATTCATTATACTATCTTTATGTTTTTTTTTCTTCCTCCTGAAATTTTACTATGACTTCCATTTTTGAGTAAATTCTAAGATACACTGTAAAAACCGATGATTTTGAGCAGTTAATTAAGCATTCAGAATAAACACCAAAAACAGCATAACAAAAAAGCAGAGTAATGTAAAAAAACTGCAGCAAATTGCTTTATTGATAACGTTACGTTGAGATTCTCTAAAAAATTTATCTGTTAAAGTAACCAAAACAGATCAAAATAGTTGATTAAACCCCCCCCCCCCCGCAAAAAAAAATAAAAAAAATAAGATTTCTGTGCATTTTCCAACTTACTACAATTCTTTTTTGGTCATTTTTTTGAATTGGTATTTAGCAACTTTATATCTTTTTTTTTTTTTCCATTAAAAAGGGTAAATTATTGTTGATAAAAGAGTAAAAATTTTTAGCACACTTTTGTGCAGTTTTTTAATGCATAACTGCCGCTCAATTTTTCTGTTCATTCTTCACCGAACAGTCATATTTTTGAATAAAGGTTATTACTTCTTTTTTTTTTTTTTCTATCAATTTTTGCAATTCTATATTTTGGCAATAAGGTGGTTTTAAGTGTCAATTATTTTAATAGATTTTTTTTCCAGACTTGTTTTCAATCGTTTTTTTTTTTCTTCTTCTTCTTCTGAGAATAACTGCCAATTAAAGAATGATTGTTATTTGTATTCAACAACAACTTAAAAGCTGTAATTGATGCAAACAAAAAAGTTGGAGACAATTTGCTTTTTTTGTTAATAGTTGCTGGTCGTTGTAAAATCATTGAAAAAGAGATAAAAATTTTTCATGATACAACTGTCAGCCACGTGAAGTATTGCATTGTAAAAGTGAAAAAAAAAATAATAATAATAATTTTTGTAATTGTTAAACACCACAGCAA